TAGGTTGATCGATCATATATATATTAACAAGAGTACAACTTATCAGTTAAAAGCATTATAGATTATAAGACTTTAATTAATGATAATAAATACTATTAAACCTATAAACAAAGTACATATTAATGCATTATATATAGCACATATTATGATCTACCTAATATGCGGTTTAAATAGTGATATATTATGGGATAAAGTTTAAAACATATCTCACAGTGGGTGTTGAGAGAGAGAGAGAGAGAGAGAGAGAGAGAGACTGACTAGCACTGTCTTCATGTTGTTCCGCCATCTATCACCACACCCAAGGCACCAATTGTTTACACTACAGATTGACACCCTGAGCACCGACACACACTACACAATATACACACACACACACACACACACACACACACACACACACACGTGACACACGCACGCACGCACACACACGCGCACACACACATACACACACACACGCGCACACACACACACACACACACACACAATGCACGCACACTTGAGGGATGTGTTGTGATGTGTAAGACCTGATGATTATATTAACCTAGCACTCAATACCTTCCCTTTCCTTCCATCTTAACTGATCTTCCTTTATTTTCCTTTCTCTTCCTTTCACTCACCCCTTTTCCTTCCTGCCAGCCAGCCAGCCTCAGCTCACCCAGGGAATGAGGGAGGGAAGGGAGGAGGGAGGGGAAGGGGGAGGAGGAGGGGGGAGGGAGGGGAGGGGAGGGAGGGGAGGAGAGGAGGAGGGAGGAGGGGAGGGGGGGGGGGGGGGGGGGGGGGGGGGGGGGGGGGGGGGGGGGGGGGGGGGGGGGGGGGGGGGGGGGGGGGGGGGGAGACGACCAGATAAGTTCTGAAAGCTTCATTAGTGGGTCCCTGTGTAATACTTTGAGACTCACACTACTACACCTAGCAACAGTACCATGACACCACTCCTCTACACCCCTACACCTGCTACACCTCAATTCCCTTCACCTATACACCTCCAACACTAAGTACATTTAACACGACACTTCTCTTCATGTGTACTCATCCCCCCTGACTCTCCTCCCATTACCCACTGACCTGCTGTCTCCTCCTCCTCTGTCTGTCTCTCTTCCTACCTCTGTCTCTCTTTCCATCCTTACTCTCCTCTTTTCCTTCCTCCTGACATGCCTCCCTTCTTCTTCTTTCTTCTTCATTCTTATTCCATTCTCTTTCTCTCTCCCTATTGATTACTTTCTTCTCACTCCCTTTCTTCCCCTTTTTCTTTCTTTCTCTTACCCTTCTCCTCACCCTCCTTTTCCCCCTCACCCCATGTCAGGGTTTGTGTCATTTCTTTCATCAATTTATTTCTCATTTTCATTTTCTCTTCTAATTACTTCCTCCTTCCCCCTCTCTCTCTCCTTCTTCTCATTCCATTCTCTTCCCTTATCCTCCCTCTCCTTCCTTATTCATTCCTTCCCTCCCTCCTACCTGCACCCATAATGCCCACATTAACCTCACCTCCTCTCCTCCTCCTCCACCTCTCTCTATCTGGCTTCCTTTTACATCTCCTATACTGAGTACTTTTATTTGTCCACTTTCTCTTCATCTGCCATTTTTCAGACCATTCGGAAAAATTTGTTTAGATTCTTCCTGTAGTTTTTGCTGAGTCTCGTCAGATTTAATAACACGTCCTATTTTGTGTCATCGTTAAATTTACTTATGTTGCTGTCTGTGCTGATATCTATGTCGTTTATGGTATATAATAAATAATAATGGTCTAAGTATTGAGCCTTGGGGAACCTCAATTGTGACGTTGTTAATGGGACTTAGTG